ATGTTAGATAGCCATTTTGGGTTAACTGTTCTGTACATAAGGATAGATGGGTAGACAAAAAGATGATAGGTAGATGACAGATGACAGGTGATAGATGGTAGATTAGACAGATATAGATAGATTAGACAGATGATAGATATTCACAGATTAGATGAATAGATTGACAGAGACGATAGATAGATAAGATATATATAGATGACAGATAATAGACAGACTAGATAGGATAGATGATATAGGTAGGTTAGATTAGACAGATAGATGATAGATATTGATAGATTAGACAGACAATAGATAGATGATATATACAGAGTTATGGACTGAATTTTTGGGCCCTCACCTCACCATCTCCCTTCTCCTAAACCCTCGCGCCACCAACCGCCACACACACACACACACACACACACACACTCATATTTGAATTGAGTCAGGGTTGAAGCCCTAACCCTCACTTTCATGGTATTTGGAGGTCGGGCCTTTGGAGGTAATTATGTTTGGAAGATATGAGGGTGTGGGTGGAGCTGCCATTACCCAATCAGTGCTATTAAGAGAAACAGAGGACAGAGCTTTCTCCCTCGACCCTGTGAGGACACAGCAGGGATGCGGCAGTAGGCAAGCCAGAAGGAACCTCACCAGGAACTGAACCTGCCTTGGTCTTGGACTTCCACTTCCAGAACGGCGAGAAATCGGTGTCTATGGATTAAGCCCCGACAGTCTGGTTATCAGCTTGAGTAGACTAACATAGATATGTAGGTAAACAGAGACGCACTTAGTCGATGGATGGAGAGAGCATAAGCATAGATATTTGTGCTTAGGTATCTGTGCCCATTCACCTCTGCACTTTGAAGTCAGCTCCCTATGAGGGGAACACCAGGAGCACAACTAATGCATGTTTTTTTTTTTTAAAGTGGGGGCTGAGTTTCCAATAACCGGGGTCTCCGTTAAGTCTCAGCCGTGTGTGCACGCACACGTATACACCACTGCCCCTGTCGGTCTACAATCACAGGAGATGCAAAAGTAACAAAGGAATGCAGGATAGAGCAAACATCTTGCAAACTGACCAGAAAAAGTAAAATTTTCCACTAGCCTCTGGGGATATCTTTGCCAAATGTTTCTATGCAATTTTAGAAAGATCTTGCTGGAAATGTTCTAGATGGGACCACTCTGAACCATCAAGTTGGTTAAAGTAATAAGCCAGGACAGGAGAGCAGCAAAGAGCACCCACGGTGTGTCTCCTGTGTATCAGACCAAGGTGTACAGGCTTTAATTCAACTACATCACTTCATCTCACCATGGCTGACATGGGATGACCTTATGCACCACCTTCATCCACGAGTAGAAAGTTACTTCAGAATCACTTCCCTTAACAGGAAACAAATAAATGCAGGGACATAAACAGTCCTAGAATTCCTGCCACCATCACCCAACTCTTTATGCTCAGCAACCTTTTCATACGAACGTGAAACATCACTCTCAACGCTACTATTCCATTTCAGATAGACCTCACTCACGTCTAAATGCCTAAACGCACTGAAACTCCACCTCCACCTTGACAGCAGAGGGGAGCAGTCTCCCCCACAAGCTAGCTGGCCTGCCACCTCAGCAAGCCCATGGGCCACTGCGTGTCACCAACAGTCCTGCATGTCACCAAAAGGTAGTTCCCTTAACCAGTGACTACACGCATGCTCTCTGGAGATGGGCCACCCAGGTGACATCGGCGCACAGGCACAAGGACCTACTACTGGGCATGCACCTGCCTCGGCCCCCACGCAGGCCAGCCAGGGTGCTCCCTGCGTGGGGCCTCGGACACGCCCCGTAGCTCACGCAGCCGGCCCCAGCAGGACCGGCCCCGGGGCAGAGCAGCCGGAGGGGTCTGGACCGCACAGGTTCAAGAGTTCAGCCCACCAACCACACCATCCACACCCAGCAGACTCGTGCCACCTACCCAGGAGACATTCCCACCCAAGGCCACTCCTCTCAAGACCCAAACACACAACTAACTCACATAAACAAACAGAAGGAATCCAGACTGAGAAGGACACAGAGGAATGAATGTGCACCTAATGACAGAGCATTGACAAAAGTGAGAAAATAGATACATAGACAGACAGATGATTGATAGATTAGACTGCTATACATACATATAGAAGATAGATTAGATAGATACAAAGATGGTAGTAGATGATAGATCATAGATGACAGATAGATAGATAGATAGATAGATAGATAGATAGATAGATAGATAGATAGATAGATGGATAGATACAGAGATAGGTAGGTAGGTAGATAGGAAAGCATAATACTAGTAAACAAAGCTATTGTTCACTCAAGACTATCTACGTGCTCCCTTACAGGAGACTCACTTGAGATCCAAGGACACAGACAAACGACAGGCCGAAGGGGTGGGGACAGGTACCCTACACAAGTGAAACTGAAAAGCAGAAGAAAACAAACAAAAAAAAAAGGGTTTCTGTTTGAGTCCCCAGAGACAGTCAGTAGAAAACAGCCCTATCTAGCCACCGTGAATTCTTTCTGTTTGGTTTCAGCAGTGCCCAGCCATAGATTTAGTGGTACAGCAACGTCCTTCTCATTTTCTCTCACCTCAACAACTGAATTGCTGTAATAATATGTTTGTGGGCTTTTGAAATCAGTAGATTTTATGATGTTCACGAATGTCAAGAAGTCATAACCAGATAAAGAGGGAAGTTTGGACGCTCAAATAAACACGTCACTCCACAACAGACTCTTTGCTCTCAACTAGAACTGCTCCTGTCTAGAACTTGGTGTTCCTTTTTACTTGTCCCTCATCCTATCAGCGGTGACACTGACATCCCTCAAACATGGTGGTGAGCAAAGCACCAAGTTTACTTTTCTGTCTACAACAGGCCCAGAGGAAGGATACTTGTGGTCTTCAGGGAGCACTTAGTCAATGAATGTGGCTGAATACAGTCAGCAAGTGATAAGGAGGTAAAAGAGGACAGAGGACAGATACGGGTTGAAGTCCCTGCACCACCATTTACTGGTTTTGTAAGCACACGCGGCTGACTCGACCTGCAAGTGTCTCAGTGAACCCAGTGCTCTCTCTACGGCCTAGTTACCTTGCAAGATTTTTGGAAGCATAATGTAGGGAAGTGACATAGGCTATGTTGTTAACTGTTCTGTACATAAGGATAGATGGGCAAACAAAAAGATGATGATTAGATAGATAGAT